TACTCCTTATTCCTTTGTAGAATTTAACTTTAAACAGGATGGGTATGATGAAACCTAAAAGAGTGTCAGGTAATCCAAGGAAATATTTATTTATCAATATCTGCTACTAAAAATTAAAGTTGCAGGGAAGTAATAGTCAACGTTTCTTCTCCTCACCCAATTCAATTATTATTAGAAAATTCTCCTCCTTGATTGAGTCTGTGTATACTCTAATTTATCATTATTAATTAAAACATATAAGACAAATTCTCTAGATAGTACTGTATTTTGCATGAATCAAAAGACCCATCATCTCTATTTTAAGATAGTAATGAACTAACTTATGATTCTCTAATCCATAGACTTTGGGGCTTTTAGCTCTCAAGGTTTCTTTCACTCCTACCAATGATTTTTGCAATTATGAAGACCAAAATAAGAATCTTAATATGATCTTAAAATGTCAAAAATATAGCATGACCTTAAAATGTAAATAATTTGGTTCACTATGATTATAATTCATCATACTTTGTACTTTTGGATTATTGTATTTTAATCATAAAAACCTATAGGATCCAAGATATTAAAAGCTTTGCTTGATCATCCAATTATCTTGTGTGTTTTTTTCAATAAACACTAAGAAATTTGTGTAAGGAAATATTTTATTTGGAAATGTGAGATTGTAGTACCACAAATATTGTTTTCTTATCTCTTTAGGAGTTTTCGTTGCTATTCTTTTCTCACAAGATAATGAGACCAGTTGTCAACTTAGATATGTTGCTGCTGCTTTAGGATGTTCATTTGTGCTGTTCTTTATTTAAGTCAACAATGAAAATTTCAGAATGTACACATGAACAAGAAGAGTTCACTATACAAAGATCTTAATACACATATAATTAATTCAAAATACTTAATAGTTGGTTATTATATAATTAGCTAAGATAATACCATTTAGTCACTTCTATTTTACATAACTCGATTTCCTGTGTTACTTGAATTTTATCATTATGTGTTACAATAGTTCTGTATATGCCAACAGTAGCTAAAATATTCTGAATTATAAACTACAATGAATAGATTTTGCTTTTTTTTTAAAGAAAAATGAAGACATCTTAAAATTTTTGAAGATTATGGAGAGAAGGAGATTCCTATCTCCTTTGAATTCTCAATAAGATTGACTACAAAAGGAAAGTTATTTTTGTCAACATGTCTATGCAAAAGGAAACATGCTTTCAAAATGCTTTAATTTGTGATTTCTGACTCTAGGTCAATAAATTGAAATCACTATTTTTATTATTTATTATTTTAAATGGTGTAACTAAGATGTGAAGAAAAGCTGTACTAATGCTCTACATGTCAAACAAGAAACTAGAGCGAAAAACCGAAAAATTTGTACAATATAACTTTTGTGCTAATTTGCTAGTTAAAAAAAAACATAGTGTAGTTATCACCTTTCCATTGTGAACTTGATGTAGAGCTAGAGTAGGGAAATATTTTATGTTCCTCAATTCATTAGGCCTGAGATGAGACGCTTATTGAAGTTCAGTGCATACAGGCATATAGCCTCTTTTATCTGCAATAGTGTGGACAGGCTGGAACAGCAGTCATGAAGAGAGATTACTTCCCAAACTGACTCTGAACCATGTGCAGTACAAGCAGAATACTCCAGAAGACACAGCCACTTTCTTACTTTCTCATTCATTTGAAAATAATAATAAAAAAAAGAACAGAAAAGAAAAAAGAAGGAAAAAAGGAAAAGTTAATCTGGATATTTCAAGTAGAATCCTTTTCTTAAGGTTTCTGAGACTTCCTTATTTTTATTTTTGGCAGAACAGATGTTCATATCTTTGAAAGATCCAGAGAATGGTGAATGAAATTAAAAAATCAATATGTAAAATTTTGCCTACTCTTAAGAAGAAATTATATTTAAAGTTTTTTTTTTTTAAATATGAATAGCTAAGAGAAATAATTAAAATTTCTCTTTTGGGATTTTGAATAAATAAATTTGAGTCATAGTTTGATAGCAATTTTTATTAGTGATATAGAATTAATCCTTTATTTGTTGTCTAAGATAGAAATGTAGAGTGCTAACCCTGTATCTATATCTGCATTTATGTTTTTATAGATTGCTTAATTCAACATTGAATGTGAATAGGTTATTTGTCCATTTGGCATTTTGAAACTTTCAAGTTCTGAAAAATTCTTTTCTAACATGCCCATCTTTGTCAGAGGTGCTTGACAATTGCAATAAGAGAATTCTAGATAAATTTGTAGGCTATGTTTTACTGATAATGTAATCTGTTGTCTAAAAATAAAACAAGCTTAATTTTTCCTGTTTTACATTAACTTGAAAAAAATAATGTTCTACAGATAACTTTGCCTTTAACTGTGTGTGTTTACAATCAGAGAAACATCATGAGGTAAATGCTCAAATTTACTTTCAAGTTATATATTCTTAATTTTTTTTTTTTTTTTTTTTGGTTGTTGGTTGTTTGTTTTTTAGTTACGGTGGTCAAACCCAGGACATTATGCATGCTTAGGCAAGCATTCTACCACTGACCTACATCCCTAACCCTCTCATTATATATTCTTAGCTGGGTGCAGTGGCAAACACCTGTAATCCCAGCAACTCCAGAAGCTGACCCAAGTTCAGTCCAGCTTTGGTAATTTAGTGACAGTATGTCTCAAAATAAAGAAGGATGGAGATGTGGGGCTGAGATTTTGGCTCAGCATTAGAGTGCTCACCTAACACATGGGAGGCCCTGGGTTTGATCCTCAGCACCACACAAAAATAAATAAATTAAATAAAGTTCTAGTATCCAGTTATAAAAATATTTTTAAAAAATATTTAAAAAATATTTTTTTGGTTAACAAAACTATTAAAAATTTTTTTTTAAAAAAAGGATGGAGATGTAACTCAGATCCAAATCATTTCTGGGTTTGATCCTTAGGACCACACACACATACAAAAATTAAGTTTTATTTTCTTTGTATAAATGACACTTCCTTATTTAAATTTATACTTTTTAAATTCAAGTCTTCTTGGCCATTTGATTATAAGTTTAAGAGAAAAAATAAATCAGATATAACAAATAGTCTGAATTTCATCTGAAAATACCTTTTTTAGAATTTTTACAGGTCTTTGTTTGTTTGTTTTATTAAGTATTTCTCAAAACTGAAATTAGGCCAAATACCTGTAATCCCAGCAAGTCTAATACAAATGGGTGCATTTGTTGTAATAAAAGAGATTTTTTAAAATCTGCTTTCCTTTCTTTTGTTAATAGACAAAACGTGATGAGATAAAACAAATTAAAGGGTTAAAAAGACATGATGACCTGCTTGGGTTAATAACAAATGTACATATACAAATGAATGCATGATTTCTTTGTGGTTAGATCAGTAATATTTAGTACTCTAAAATTTTTTAAAATGTACTAATGACATTAAAAAATCTAAATATCTATTGTTTTATTTTGCATTTTACATGAGTATATATAAATTCTTCTTAACACCTAGGAATCATCAGTATTTAGCCTTTTGGCAGGGTTTCTGTAATGTGAAATAATCTTCTACCCATGTTTTCTATCAGAAGATTTAAAAATAAACTAGCAAACTTGATTTATCCAGAAACACCTGCTTTCTGGGTTATATATTCAAATAATACTAAATGGAAGGAATGAACTGGACTCATTTTTAAAGGGCTATCCAGAGAATAAACACTGAATTTCTATTTTAGTGGCTTCTAATTTTATTTGTAAATAGATATATTTCTTAGAACTCTCAACCATTGTTAATATGTATCTAACATTTATAGAAATACTTTTTGAAAGTGATACATTTTGGAAATGTTCTCCTTAGATAAATGGCATAGTAGAAATCAGTAATCTGCGAGGCAAAACCAAAACAAACACCCAAGCAAAACTAACAAACAGTTGGTTTTACTCTTCTGCTTATTCAGTGGTGTTAGAATCTTTCTTTGAAATTATTTATGTGTTTTGAACCTGATTCTTCCCCTTGCTGTCTGTTTAGATGTGATACCCCCTTGTATCAGGAAATATCCATAACAACATAGCACAGTAGAATCTTGACTCTGCCCCTTTAATAGGTGGAATAGCTACTCTGGATCTTACTTACTAATCTATAACATGAATATAATGATAGTTTTTTTTTTGGTGAAGATGAGTTTGTTTGTGCTCCATTGAAGTTTTACTTCATAATGATTATTATGCATATAATAATTATTATATTACAATCATTCTAATTTTACTATTGAAGGCAATTATTATTAGTAATCATTGCTTCATTATTATCATCAGTAAAATGGATAGTGCCTGCATTTCGTTTAGAATTTCATATCTATTACCAAAACTGCATTATACTATTTTATTTTCAAGTGTCTTCTAGTAGGGGAATTGTGAATTTGGGAGAGGGAGGAATTATGACATTTTTTAGTTTTACCTTCATGAAAAAACACTCAAGTTTTACACTTACCATTATTTTTGAAAATTTATATTAATAAGTTATAATCTTAGACAAAGAAGTAATTACCGTGTGCTTCCCCCAGGCTTAATAAATTTCCTAAAACTCCTAACTATTGCTGCAATTTGATATTTTTTTAGTATTCAGTTATATGCCAGTTATTCCATTTTGCCATATATTTAGCTAAACCTCAAGTTAAAAATCTTCATGTATAATTCGTTATTCCGAGCAGAGTGACTTAAAATTAGGCTTTAACAAACAGATGGTATAGTATGGCTAATGGTATTTACATTGCTTTCTTTTCTGAAAGAAAAGAAAGTCACTCTACTTAACATTTTAAAAACATTATTTTTAGGCTATTTGATGATTTCTATGATAATTAGTAAAAAAGTTGCCCAATTTTATGTTTACTTTATTTATATCTGATAAATGCAGTACATTCGATCTTTTACTTTTTCCCCCTCAGAAGAAATTATGTATTTTAAAACAGAACTGCTCCGGCTTGATATTATCTCCAAACTAATCATGTTCTCCTCTCATTATAGTTTAGAATTGGATCCTTTAATCTAGAGAAAGTAGAAAGCCCAGCTGAGGTCATCAGAGAACTTATTTGTTACTGCCTGGACACCATTGCTGAAAACCAAGCCAAAAATGAGCACCTGCAGAAAGAAAATGAAAGGTTTCTGAGAGATTGGAATGATGTTCAAGAACGGTGTGTACCCAATGTGCTTGCATTATAAAAACTTTAAGTTTCTTTAAATTATAGGTTTAAGTAATTATTTATAAATTTATAATATATGTACAATATCCTAGATGGAAAATAAAATCTGTATTCATTATAGTTTTACTTAATAGTATTAAACCAAGGTCCTAATCACTATTGTGCATTATTGGTACATAAGAACAATTTTAGGTAATTTAGTATTTGTTTGCACCACCAATCTTATAAAAAATAAGAAGTAATTGGACATTGATTATCTCAATCTATTATTGTAATATTGATTTAAAAATTTAGGTAGTGAGACTGAGGAGTAACTCCATGGTAGAGTATATACTCAAACATGGATAAGCCATGGGTTCAATCCCCAATTCCTTCAAAAATACTAATGGATATTTATAAGAAAAGATTAGTTCAGCTTAATTTATAGGATTAATAATGAATAAAAAGATCTGAAATATAAATAAGCACTGTCAATTCTCTATTTGGAATTAATAAATGGTAACTATTTTAAATGATGTGTGTTTTGATTCCTAGTAGAGACTTATTTCTCCTGATTTATTGAAAATTCATATTACAATATTCATAGTTTTTTAAAAGCTAAAGTAACTGTAGCTATTGAATAAAACACTCAGTAGTCTTTTATTTTCCTGGCCTTTTTAAAATTTTTTAATGATGATAAAAAGTTATATATTTTCTCAATTATTAACTTTTTCAACTAAGTCTTAATCTAGGCTTAACTAGTGTATGACTTGTACTATTGTACTGGGTAAAAGATGTTCGAAGGAAATAATATGTAAGTCATAAACACTTATATCCCTGAAGAGACATATATGATAGTCATATGTTTGTGTGTGTGTGCGGCAATGTCTGAAATAATCATGTGGTGTATATAAAATAATGATTAGAATCACTACATAGAGTAGATTTTTAATCTTTCATTCAAGCTAATTGATCTAAAGGATAAGAACATGGTGTCTTATTTAGAGTTATTTTTAGGGCAGCTGTTGTGATTGTTCTATATGGACATTGTTCTATATGAGGCAACATGATCCATAGCAAAGTGGTTTACAACTATTCATGTGTAAGTATATGAAAATGAGAGTAAGTAAAATAAGTTATTTTTCTGTACATTCAATAATATTTACTATTCAATGCAATTCATGCAAAATTGAGTTACTAATACTTGGTTATATTTTCCTTTTATTACACTAAGGAAATGCTTGTCTTGCTCTCTTTTAGCCAAATTACCTTTTATCTCCACTTATTTATTTATATATAACTATACATAAATAATATAAAATATAAGTATATATAAATAATGTAAAAGTAATGGAGACCAATTCAATATTTATATATCAAGAAGCTATACAGAAAAAATTTATCCTTATGTTCTGTTTTATTCATTTTGATATAAGTCAGTATCAAATATCTGTCTCCAAAGCATTTTTTGTACCTGTATCTGTAGTTTGGGTGTGTTTTTCTATTTTGTATGTGAAATGAATCAAATTAAAGGAGATGCACTGTGATTGTAACAAGCCATTATATTTTTATATTTAAAACTCAAATTACCCTCTGTATGATTAGAAATTTGATCCACAAATTGGCCACAAAAATGCTGGCTGGTTACTTAGTACTTGAACAAATTGCTTTAAAATGTCTGCCAGAGGTTGAAAGAGGTTATTATCTCATCAGTATTCAACACCACTCCCACAGAATTGAAAGCAGCAGGAAATGAAGATGAGGCAGTGGAGACAATTGCACCCTATGCTGTGAAACAGTATGTAAGGGGTACATATATTATGTGGACCACAGATGCTTGATTTGCTCTTCCTGAGCTATCCAGATTTTGCTTTTATTCTACTAAGCAAGAGATTTTCTATTTGTTCAAAAGCATAGTCATGTATTCCTTTACCTGCCTTATTATGCTTGCTCCTGCTATCTTTTTTGTTGTTGTAATTTATACTGGATTAGATCTTCAGAGGCTGACAGTGTGTGCCATTGGGTTCAACTGGCAACCTGGGAGGAAAGAAAATCCACTCAGAATTCCAAGGTTTCATTTGTATATCAGATGTCAGATTAGTCCTTTATGTATTTCCTGAATTTGGTTTTTCTCCTTTGAAAGGAGAAAGTGGCCACTTTAAGGAGATATAAATAAATACATCTTGGTCATGCCCAAGACTCTCCTCTAGAGTCTTAGGATCCTGGAAAATGAGCAGAGGATTTACAGCTCCAGCTTCCATAAGGCAGTGGTGCTGACTTAGAGTCTTTAAAAGATTAGAAGTGGGATAGGAGCATACTAAGCTAGGTAACTTATATTAGGGACACAAAAAGTGGAGAATCATTAGAAATGGGCCACGATATTAAGCCCAGCTATAGTTCAGTTTTAGGGCAGCCTCTGACTATTCTTTTGTCAGTTATCCATCTTGTTATCAACTATTTCTTCCCTTCCATATTACTGCATATGGAGGGGAGGAGGTGTTAGAAGGGGAAGAGGGGCAAGTGTTTAATGCCTAGACTTTAACATATGTATTTACTATTATTTTTTAGTTACTATTTAATAATTGTCTTTGCTCCATTTTGAATGTTTGAACAAGTGGCATTACTGGATTTTTTTTAGTTTATTAATAAAGGAGGAAAAATTAGACAAGTTGAATATGAATCCTCAGCTTATTAGCTGTATTTAGTTCACTGGCTTTTCCTACTTAATTTCAAATAACAACTTTCAAGTTCCATGTTACTGAATAGGTTTTTGTTTGCTCTTAGAATTCAACTTAGAAATTCTGGCTTTATTCTGAGTTATAGTTATCAAACACATAATTGGAGGCAGTTTTCTGTGAATTGAGTTGACACTGTGGAATAATCAGAATGGAAGACCTTGAAAGCTCTTCTACTTTGTCTTTTTGCCTTCAAGATAGAATCATATTATCTACAGATGAATTCAGTCAGATTTTTAAAGACCTCAAGAGATATCTTCCTGTCTCCTTGGTAGCCCTTTACAGTGTTTAAAACACTCACAGTCAGAAAATTTTTCCTTACATTTATTGGTAATCTGAATCCTTCATGATATAGTTGAAGGCCATTTCCTCTAGTGCTGTCATAAGAAAAGATGAGGAACAGCTGTTCACCATCTTCAGGGCTTAAAGCCTTTTAAAATCTTTACTACTGCTTTCTTTTCCAGCTCTTTTTAGCATCCTTTGTCCTTTAAACTCTATTCAGATTTTCTTTTTCTGTACAACCCTGAACTGCATATAAATTTGGCCAGGACTGATTGTTAATATAATGATGATAACAGTGTTTCTGTTCCAGATCTTCATATTCATGTATCTGTTGTTTGATTTTGAGCTATCATTTAATCTCTTGTTTTATTTTGTGTGTTGTTTTTACATGAAATTGCTTCATTTTTTGCTCTTATTTTCATTATTGTTTCAACATGTTTTTGTTCAATTGTTTTGCCACCCATAATTATTTCATTTTGAATATTCAGTATTTTTCTTTATTGAGTTTTTTATCTTTTTGTTATTTTTAAAAATTACGATTTTTTGGACTAAGACCATAGGTATACCTCAGTGCTAAGGGATACTAACAGCTTTATTATTCTGTTGTCATAGTAACTGTTGAAAGAATGAAGTGTCATTAGGCCTTTCCTGTTTGATATTATTATCTGGTATGACTTTGTCTTGGAGGTGATCCTTAGACTGGTTGCAGTCTGCTCCAGTTGTAAGTGGGCTTACTTTTAGTACTACTGGAATTAACAGTGAATCTTATGTCTCCACTTGACTAATACTTCCTTCCCAGTTGTTAAGACAGAGGCTTGGCAGGGACCAAGTAATATGAAAGGCACAGTAATATTGTAATGGCTCTAGAAGAGGACTGGCATTAAAATCAGGTGGACAGATGCTATGTGTGTTTTACTTTCTAAATATTTAGAAAATGGTTAGTGTTCTCCAAGTCTGTTGAGAAAGTAGTAATGAAGAGTAAATTCACACCCTGCAATTGCTTAAAATAATACTTTATTCTAGCCAACTGTTACTATCAGCTTTTGTGGAAAATGTTATCCAGTTTGAGGATTAGAAGTGTTTTTTTAATAATTTATTTTAGATGTAGTTGGACACAATACCTTTATTTTTATTTGTTTTTATTTTTATGTGGTGCTGAGGATTGAACCCAGCGCCTCACACATGCTAGGTGAGCACCACTGAGCTACAACCTCAGCCCCCTAAAGTGTTTTTTAAAACATACCCAGATCCGGGTATGCACATAGGGTAATAATGCTCAGTTTATTCTACTATCCTTCCTAACCCCTTCCCCTCCCTTTGCCCCTGACAAATACCCAGATCCTGTTATATTAATATTATTTACCACAGATTATTTTAAAAGCCAAAGAATATAAAAACTACTGTTAAAATGGTGTATAGCTGTTAAATGAGTGAAAAAATATTATCCAGTCATGTACTCTATGTTACATAAATCAGCAGTGGGCCACACATATGACAGTGGTGCCAGAAGATTGAAATGGGGTTACAAAATACCTGTTGCCTATTGAAGTTTTAGATGTCCTGAGATTGTAGCAGGATGCATTACTAATGAGTTTGGGGAGATGCTGGTGAAACCAAACCTGTGTTCCTAGTAGTTTAAGGTATAGCACATATGTTTTAGTCTGCTGTTTTTTTTTTGTCACTATGACCAAAATACCTGACGAGAACAACAGAGGAAGAAATGTTTATTTGAGACTTTCAGAAGTCTCAGTCCAAAAATGACTGACTGAGCTCTGGGCCCAAATTGAAGCAGAAAGAACATCATGGTGGAAGGGGATGATAGAGGAAAGTAGCTCAGGACATGACAACAGGAAGCAGAGAAAAAGCACTGCTTAAAAGGGACAAAATATATATTTCAAATGTACACCCCCAGTGACCTAACACCTCTAGCCACACCCTACCTGCCAAAGGTTATCATCCATTAACCCACTCAAATGGTAATTAAGATGATTATGTTACAGCTTTCTTAGTCTAATCATTTCAACTCTGAAAATTCTTGCATTGTTTCAAACATGAACTTTTGGAGGACACCTCATACCTAAGCATAACAACATACAAATATGTAGTGCATGTAATACTTGATAATGAAAATAAATAACTCTTCTGCTGGTTTATGTGTTTACTATCCCATACCTTTTTGTCATTGTTTAAACTTTTCATTTCATGCTCATAAAAAAAAATGCATATTGTGTTCCTCTAGTAGCTGCCGCAGTCTGGCTGGGCACAAATCATGAGCCACTCAAGCAGGAACAAACTTTATTTCTGAACTCCCACGAACGCCACCCACACGGCTTTTCTCAGGACACACCACACACCAACCAGAACTCCCTCCATCGGAACTTCACCCACCAAAGCGAACTCTCCAGGAATCCTGGGGAGATGTCAACCGCAAACTCTCCAGGAATCCCCATGAGAGCTCAACCAGAACTCAACGGGAACTCCACGAGAACTCAAAAGTACTGGCAAAATGCTAGGCGCCATCCCAACTGGGCTATGGCTCTCAACAAGTAGCAACTCTGTAAATCTCTTGTCTACTGTCTCTTGGTTGCATGAAGAGGCCACATCAAGTAGTTGATATACCAGCTAGGTTTGTACAAAGTACCTTCTATAGTGTTTACCAGCAACAAAATTGCCTAGTGATGCATTTCTCAAAACAATGCATGACTGTGTTCAGAATAATTGGTTTTCCATTTCCTCATGAGATGTCCATATTAGCTCTTCACTCAGCTATTCCTTTTTGGGAGGATAGCCATAGGCAGTTGTGGTGCCCATCTAGAATGGCCTTATTATTATTGTTTTTAAATTTGTTCTATTTAGTTATACATGACAGTAGAATGCATTTTGACACATCATACATAAAAGGAGTATAACTTCTCATTCTTCTGGTTGTACATAATGTAGAATAACAGTGGTCAGGTGGTCATATATGCACATAAGGTAATAATGCTCAGTTTATTCTACTATCCTTCCTAACCTCAAATCCCCTCCCCTCCCTTTGCCCCTGACAAATCCAAAGGACCTTTATTTTTCATACCAGCCCCTTATTGTGAATTAGCATCTGTATATCAGAGAAAACATTCAGCCTTTGGTTTTGGGTGATTGGCTTATTTCACTTAGCATGATATCCTCCACCTTCATCCATTTACCTACAAATGTCATAATTTCATTATTTATGTTTGAGTAATATTCATTGTATAGATATACAACACAATTTCTTTATCCATTCATCTTTTGAAGGGCACCTAGGCTGGTAACATAGTTTAGCTATTGTGAGTTGAGCTGTTATAAACATGGATGTGTCACTAAAGTATGCTGATTTTAAGTCCTTTGGATGTAAATCAAGGAGTAGGATAGCTAGGTCAAATGGTGGTTCCATTCCAAGTTTTCTGAGGAATCTTTATACTGCTCTTCAGAGTGGTTATACCAATTTACAGTCCCACGAGCAGTGTATGAGTGTTCTTTTTTTTCCCACATCCTTTCATTATTGCTTACATATTTGATAATTGCCATTCTGACTAGAGTAAGATGAAATCATAGAGTATTTTTGATTTGTATTTCTCTAATTGCTAGAGATGTTGAAAAATTTTTCATATATTTTTTGACCATTTGTATTTCTTCTTGCAAATCAATCTAACAAAAGAGGTGAAAGACCTATACAATGAAAACTATAGAACACTAAAGACAGAAATTGAAGAAGACCTTAGAAGATGGAAAGATCTCCCATGCTCTTGGATAGGCAGAAGTAATTTGTCAAAATGGCCATATTATCAAAAGCATTATACAGATTTAATGCAATTTCTATTAAAATCCTAATGATATTCATCATGGAACTAGAAAAAAGCAATCATGAAATTCATCTGGAAAAAGAAGAGACCCAGAATAGCCAAAGCAATCCTTAGCAAGAAGAGTGAAACAGGAGGCATCACAATACCAGACCTTAAACTATACAATAGAACCATAGTAACAAAAATGGCATGGCATTGACACCAAAACAGACTCATAGACCAATGGTACAGAATAGAAGACACAAAGACAAACCCATATAAATACAGTAATCTAATACTAGACAAAGGCACCAAAAACATATATTGGAGAAAAGATAGCTTCTTCAACAAATGGTACTCGGAAGACTGGAAATCCATATGTACCAAAATAAAATTAAACCCTTATCTCTCACCCTGCATGAAACTCAAAGTGGATCAAAGACTTAGGCACTAGAACAGAAGAAAAAGTAGGCCCATATGGGCTTAGGAACTGAATTTCCTTAACAAGACTCCTAAAACTCAAAAAGTAAACTCTAGAATGGCATTATTTCAAATTTTCATTTTCATAAGGACTGGCAGTGATCTGAGGCCATCTGGTTAAACCTGCTACCAGGAAGATCTACAGGTGCAAGATCTATCAATCAAAAGCACCTAGCATGGCTCTGTATCCTGCACCTGGACCAATAGATATCATACTATGATGCTCCACTGTAAAATATTAGACCAAAGAACAAACTAGAAGTCATTTTAGTTTGTTTGGAAGAGTTAAGGGTGGAGGCATGCACAAGAAAATGGCACAGAACAGAGTCCATGTAGGCCAATGTTCAGTGTCTGAAAGAGCTCATCCAAGTTCATCCTATTCTCCAGGAAGCTCTTAACCCCAAGCATAGATACAATTCTGCTGAAGAACTCAAATTGGCCACTCAGCTGGCAGGACCAGTAATACAGATATGGAGAATCTACAAGAAGGAGAAAGTCAGAGTTGTTGCAAACCACCATCTCAAGGAGAACTTCCAGGCATTTGGAAGTCTTTGCATAGCCCAAGCCAATGCCAGGATGTCCATCTTCATGGAAAAAAGGGTCAAGGAACTGCAGAATGGAATGTTGGAAAATAAAAATAATGTACTCTTTGAGACATTTAATAAATCAGAAGTAAAGCTGGAAAAATATAAGCATATTAACTCACTTGCTTTATTCATTTATCCAATAAATACTTACTAAACATCTGTCAAATTCCAAATACTCTCCTAGGTACTAAGGATAAACTACACAGTAAAACACATGCTCTTTGGAATTCACAGCAAAACTTTGCTATAAGAATTTGCTGTAATTGATTCCAGAGATACATTGTCATATGTTCCTTTCATCCTATGAGAAATTTTCTTCATCTCTAAATTAGTAGATTGTAAAAGCATTAAGGTCAAATAGGAAAAGTATTACAATTTGACATGTTTGTTTCTAGTTATTTCACTGTAATGTATGTATGTACACCCACATGTATATATTGCCTCTGATATGCATATATATAATATGTAAAGGCTAGGACGGCTATATGACCATCAGAATTATATATAAGCAGTATGGTAAGAGAATATCAGGCAGAACTAGACTACATTTAAAAGAATATTTAAAAAATTATTTTAGTTGTATGTAGATGGACACAATAACTTTATTCTAAGTGTTTATTTTTTATGTGGTACTGAGGATCGAATCCAGGGCCTCACATGTGCTAGGCAAGCTTGACCTCTGAGCTATAACCCCAGCCCAGAAAGAATTTTTTTTTTTTTTTTTTGTGGTGCAGGGATTAAACCTGGAGCCTTGTGCATTGCATGTGAGGCAAGCACTTTATAAACTGAGCTATAGCCACAGCCCCTAAGAGAATATTTTATGTGAAATAACTTATATTTAAATCTATAAAAGAGTTAAAAGATTTTATATGTGTCCGTATTAAGCAAGTGTATACAACTTCTCTAGTTTGCATTCTCTACCTTATATCTCATTTGAAGTTTAAATATAATCCCTTATTAGTTCATTTGAGCATTATATGAAGAATTATAAATAATGGAGAATTTTGTGAGTTTTATAGCACATATTTAAGATATTTGTTGTTTTATTAATATCTCCTTGGAAATATCAAGTAGTTTATGTTTATTCTCTCTCTCTCTCTATATATATATATATGTTTGTGTATATGTGTTTTTATGTATATTTGTAAGTGTATATGGTGCTGGGTTTTAAGGGTATAACTTGACAGGTCATTCTTGTGGAGCAGTTCATAGTCTAGTAGTGCAGTCGTATATATTGGGTATATTGCTTTATCACAAACAAGATCATGCTTGGTATTAAGATAATATTAGCAAAGTATTAGGGAAACAGATTACATTTGCTTATTTGAAATTTCTTCCATGAAACATTCTTTTGTATATAAACCATAGATTTGAATAAGTTTATATTTAGGCATTTAGATTTTTAAAGCTTTTTTCTATAAGCTTTCAATTTTGATCTTTACCTCAGTATATAAATTACAGATATTAATAACCAATAATTTCTAATTATTTATTTAAGTAAATATAATTTCCAAGACAATGAAAGCATATGTAAAAATAATTTTTAATTTTTAGTTTTCTTGAAGAGTTTTCTTGGTATCTTCAGTATTAGTATGAATAGCATTGCTAAGAAAAATTGTATGATTAATTTACTTTTTTAGGTTTGAAAAATGTGTGAGTGCCAAAGAAGCCTTGGAGACTGATCTCTATAAACGGTTTATTCTGGTGTTGAATGAGAAGAAATCGAAGATCAGAAGCTTACATAATTTATTAAAAGAAGTTCAAGAATTGGAAAAGAATGCTGAAGATGAAAGGTATAGCATTTCTGCTTTTGGATGGTAGACAAGTAAATTTAAGTAGTACTTTTACACTAATGACGTTTTGGAAATGTAAGATCATTTGATAATCTGGGTTTGAACTGCTAGGGCAAAGATGTTGGCTTAGAGAATTCGTAACATGATTCTTCTGTGCCTACCTTCTGTCTTACCTATACTTAACTTATAAAACTGGCATAAGTCTTAATGTTATTTATTTAATTTAATTTATTTGTTTAATATTTTTTATTTCTTAGACATCATTAAGGAAGAATTTAAAAATCTTTTCATCTCCTTCAAGGACTCCAGAATTTGATGTACATTTGTAATTTTTCTTTTATTAAATTTTTTTTTGGTACTGTGGATTGAACCCAAGATCACTCAACCAATGAACCCATCCTCAGCCTTTTTGTATTTTATATTTTTGAGACAGGGTCTGGCTAAGTTGTTTAGGGTCTCACTAAGTTGCTGAAGCTAGACATGAATTTGGGATCCTCCTGCCTCAGCCTCCCAAGCAGCTGGGATTATAGGCGGGTACCACCATGCCTTGTTAATGTACATTTGTAATCTTGAGGTCTAATCATTGGTTAACTCTAGAATCAAATGTTTAATTTATGTTATCTGATTAGAGTGTGATTCTCTGTCATCATTCTGTCAAGTTTTCTCTGTGAGTGAATGTATACTTGATTTCCTAAGGAGAAAAAATCAGATGGTTAGTATGACAAATGGTTAGTATGGCTTTGAACAATTTTTTTTAAACATTAGAAGATATACATTATCTATTTCCCTGAACTGGAAACAAAGCATAGTTATACCAATGACATGTTATAATAAAGATAACTTTTGATGTCAACTGATCCTAATTCTGATACTGATCTTACAATAATATCTATTGTGTATTATATTGGCATATCATTTAATCTCTCTTTGCTTCACTTTTGGGACAATCTAAGGATGAAGAACTGGTTTAGGTTATTAGAATGCTAAATACATTGTGACCCACAGAAATTATCTTATAGAATAGTATTTTGATAGAATGATAATAAGTGATAAGATACTAATTTATGAATTAATTATAGTGAACATTAAATAATATTCAGATTGTTAACTAAAAGAACCTATTATTAAATAAGTTATTATATAGTCTTTGAATTGATTTCATCTAAATCATATGTGCATATTTTTTCAGTCTTATTAAAGAATCTTTTTCCAGAAATATTTTCTAAAATTACTAAACTGGCAAATTTGATACCTAGATGGTTGAATCAGCTACTTAATGCTTGCTTCTTTGTTTCTAGGGAAAACAAAGAAATAACTGCTGACCAAGGTGCAATCTATGATGAAAGCACTGATGAGGAAAGTGAACACATGTCTGAGTCCTCTGTATTGGCTCAAGGTAAGAGCAATAGTTTATTTCCTTTGTTAAATATCTCACCAAGGCTTATTACTCTAGTGAAAAGTATTATAAAAAATTTTCCACCAAAATTCTCTACAGTTTTTATATACTACTCCAAATACTTAATGTTAAAAATTAGCATTTATTATAAAATACTGCAGTTCATTATCAAGGAGGCAAAATGAACATACATACACCCACACACCAAGGTTAAACCGGGTTAAATGGATGCATAGGCAGTAAGGAAGATGTACCTTCATGCTAAATATCACCAGCTCAGAGCTGGTTGCCCTCAGCATTTGAGGTCTTATCTGGCAAAGGCTATGGATAGGGCAGGGTGATTCTGAATGTTCTAGATTATCCTAAGGTTGTGGCATTCTGTCATTCTTCAGAAAAAGGTTTGCTATGATATAAAAGGTATAGAGGACAAAGAAAGGAAAATGTCAGTTCAGTGTGAAATACTTGAATCTACCTTACTTAGTCCTGTAGATCAAGTACACAGTAGGTGTTTAAATCCATGGATTACTTTCCTAGATTCTGTAAATTTCCAAGGGGCAGTGGAAATCCGAGCCCCTGAATTCATTTAATACTTAGAAGCTTTTGACCTAAACCTAATGTTATAAAAAACAAATGTTTGATTCATTCATTTAGGAAATACTTTTGAGTGCCTCTTATGCATCAGGAGCTTTTCTGGGCAATAGACAGCAAAACACAAAATTCTGTGCCAGTGTGGAATTTAAATTCTAGTCAGAGAAACAGATAATAATAAGATGAGTAACCTAAATATAAAGTATAAGCTATGTTAAGTGAAAGAGAAAAATAAAACAAGGAAGGATGATAGAAATGCCAGGATTGGGAGTAGATAAAGAAATTATGATTTTAGCCAGGGAATTAGGAAGGCCTGAGGGATAAAGTGCCAAGTCTCTCTAGGGGAAGAGCATGCTGGACAGAAAAACCACTTATGTACAGAGGCCTTGATGTCTTTAAGTCACAACATGGGAGGTTAGTAAGAGTTGAAAAATGAGGATTGGGAATTGGGAGAGGAGTTCAGAGAGATAATGGGCCGCATTTTATGTAGGGTGTTGTATGCCATTTTAAAGACTTCAGCTTTTATCTTACATAAATTAGAAACTATTGGAGCATTTTAAACAGTCAAGTGGCATAATTAGACTTACATTTTAACAGGATTAGTCTGGCTATTATATTGGTAACAGACTATAGGATGGCAAGTGAAGAAGAAGTTATAACAGGAAGCTAGTTCAACAATTGGGTGAAGAATGAGCGATAGTGAATATAATGAGCAATGAGTAGACTGCAGATAACATTTACAAGAAGCACGATTTGCTGAAGTAGTTATGGCAAAAGGAGAGTGAGTAAGAAGACTAAAATAGAAAGGGGGCAGCCAGGAAATTACAGGCAACTCTGTAGATATCCTATCCTGGAAGTGAAATTCATAAAGGAAGTATTTGAAGTGATAAATGTGAAACAGCTGAGTTGAATGCTGCTACAAACGGGGGGGAAAGATGAGAACTGAGGGCTTATTGACAGGTTCAACAATGTAAACTTTATTAGACCTTAGTATAATATTTTCAGTGGGAGGTTGGAAGAGAAGAGCAAATAGGATATTCAAAGGGAGGAGAGAATTGGGGATGAGACCACATAAATATAGGCAACACTTTAGCAAGTTTCACAAAGAAAAGAAATGCAGAGTTGAGGGGAAACTAGGTGAAGAGGTTGTGTTTTTTGTTTTTTTTTTTTTAAGATGGAAGAAAGAATGTATACTGATAGGAGAAAGGGAAACAAACATCAACTCATAGACAGAAAGAAGAGCTGAGATACTGTCTTTAAGTAGATATGACAGGATCCAATGTACAACTAGTGGATTAGTTTAGCTAGGAGCTTGGGCACTTCTCATAGTGACAGTAGAGAATATAAAATTAATGGACACTGAGGAAGGTAACTAATGGAAGTCATGGAAACTTTCTGAGGTTTAGACTAGTTGATTGATTAATCTGACTCTAGACAAATTAGATTTGAATCACACAATCACATGTTTACACTTGGGAATTAAATTTCTTCTCATTTGGAGGCAATGCTTTTTTTCATTTTGCCCCATTTAAAATGAAATCATGTAATCTCACAATGCTCACAAAGAAAATCCAGACTCTCTTATTTAAACTTGGAGAATTTTTATTAAATATAATTACATTTGATATTGCTCTTATTCAGTGTATTCCACCAACATTTAAAGTAGATCAAAATTATTGTTGAATTGGAAATTTGTGGTTAGATATGGGTATATGAGAATGAGGTCTTTTATTAAGTAAAATTTTAAGCTATAATTGTACTATTTTAAATTTGGCAAAATTTCTCTCTTCGTTTATTCTGTATTTTTCCTATGTTTTAGGTATCATTATTTCTTTAATTCATTTTTAGATTACTTCATATCAGATATATAAGTCTTTGGTTCTGTTTTTTTGTTTTTGCTTTTACCTTTTTTGGGTACTTTTTTGACGTTAGAGGGTTAAAGCATTTTTATTACAAGTTTTATCTATTACATCTGCATAAGTAAAAAAAATCAGGAAGTTGATATTCATTAAGATGAAAAATAAATAGGTCTGAAATGTTTGATAATTAAGAACCAGAGTCCATAGAGCTGACAAAGAGCATTATGTATGTTAAATAACGAGATGGGCCTCCTTGTGATTTATCAGCTTCTACAATTAATTCTTTCATTAAAACAAAGTATATTTTTAGTCCATTATATATTAACTTTTTGAGCACAGCTTTCTCTTTGTGGTATTTTCTATAGTATTACTATGTAAGTATAATACTATATGTACTACATAGTAATACTACATAATATGGTATCTATGTGAGAGCAGTGAGTGTTTTTTTTCTAAACTTATTTTACCATCTTTCATAATAAATTGCTTTTTCTTTGAAAATAAGCAAAATTGTGGGTGTATTTTAGATATTGCTGTTTCGTTTGTGTTTTGCCTATAGTCAAAGCAAGAGGAAGAGAGATTAATAGGGAATAATATATTACTGCCTTTTAGAAAGTCATTTGTTCAAGTGGCTGAATGTGTTATTTTGTAGCAATTTTATTATGTAAATGGTTTTCATCATTAATTATTAAAATTTCATAGTCCCGTGGGTTGTTCACATTATTTAGTAGCCCCATTCCTAGACAATAAAAAAAATAGGTTTAGTGAGATCAAGCTCATTAAGTGCTTCTGTCATATTCATTCAAGGAGAAGATTTGTTTACTTTTATGAATAAAACCGGAAGTAGGGTAGTGATACAGTAGTTTTGAAAGAAATTGATAGCTAACATTTCTGTGAACAAAAAATCAATTTTCTTGCTTTTATTTTGTTTTATTTTTCATATTCCTAGGATTGCTGGGGAGGTAACTAATGATAAATAGTCCAATCTAATGAACTACATCTGCTCTTGTATACTACACAATATACCATGAAAATTCTCAAAAACACTGAGCAGTTTTAGCAGTTTATTGGCTGAAAGTAGATCCCCATAGTATTCTGAGATTTGAATGTTAGAGGTAATACCACCCCATACTACATCTTACATTTTTGTATAGCAAGATTTACTTTCTTTGGGATGGCATTCTGGTTCAGTGGTGGAGTCCTTGCCTAGCATGTGTGAGGAACTGGGTTTGAATCTCAGCACCGTGTATAAATAAATAAACAAACAAATAAATACATAATTGTTCATCAGCAACTAAAAGAGAATTTTAAAAAAAGACTTACTTCTTTATGTCTTGATTTCCAGAATGTTCAGATAGTTTGAAAGGTTATTACTGACTTTATTTCTTATACCATGATTACATCCTAATGCCATAGAGTTCATAAGTTTCATTTTGTTTCTGATTATGCTTAAAATATATAAAATAGCTGCTGTGATTTATTTTATAGCTCAACACCTGGATTACAAAATGGGTTATTTTCACCCCCATTACTTGATACTAACTCCTATGGCTGTTAAGAATTTTCTGGATTGTTTATATTCCCATGACTCCAATGCAGAATTGGTATTTGTCAATAGAAAACTGTCAGGTTATTAGATATTTTGTGAAACATCCTTCTCTACAGGAAATTAGTCGTTTGGATCCAAATTAAAGAAACATCCTAATTTAACTTGATCACTAACAGAATGTCACAAAAATATAAAAGATGTAAGTGTCATTAGTATAGTAGGACAACAAAACTCACAGCACCTTACCTAACTGGCCTTTCATTTGCCTCAACAGAATCAGATAAAACCTAAAAATAATTTATCATTGTGTAGTTTTTTTAATAATTAATTTTTTATACAAATGCAGCACAACTTTTTATTTCTCTAGTTGTACATGATGTAGAGTCACACCATTTGTGCAATCATACTTGTACCTAGAGGTTATAATGTCCATCTCATTTTACTGTCTCTCTCCCCTCTGCTCAATCTAAAGATCCTGCATTCTTTCCTTGCCCTGCATTATGTAGTTTTAAAATATTGTTTCAGAACGACTTTGATTGCATGTGAAAACAATTTTTAAATATGTATAAATATTCTAAGAATTAGCAACTTTTTTTTAAAGAATTTTTTTTCACAATACCTGTATTCTATTTATTTATTTTTATATGGTGCTGAGGATCTAACCCAGGGCCTTATACATGGTATGCAAGTACTCTACCACTAAGCTACAGCTCCAGCCCAGAATTAGCAACTTTTACAAAATACTTCCTAATCTTAACATAATTAGAGAAGTATGTAAATATTTAGTGGAAAAATTGGGTTTATTTCATAGGGATAGTGTCTCTCATGTAAAGTATTTTGAAGTTTTGCTTAATTCTCCTAATTAACTATCACAAGAGGAATTATTTTAATGACTCATTAATTATTTTATTAAATGATCAATGCTTTCAAATTATAATTCTGTTAATAGAAATTGACATATTTGTTATAATTAGAGAATAATTGAATCAGCATTACTGAAAGTA